GTGGCATATTATTATGAGTTGGGGGTTTTAGTTTCTCGTTTTTTTGTTTTGATATCGATTCCCGTGATCCATCTCGTTTCTCAGATCTGTGAGTTTGGTATGGGCCATTGTTGTTTGGTGATAGAGTTTGATGATTGTAGGATGAACTGTGAAGGATGGGCTTTGTTTAGAACAGCCAAAGCCAAAATGTGAAATTTTTTAGGCAGGGGTGAAAAGAAGCTGAAGTTCAGTAGAGATTTTAGTTTGTTTTTTGTGACACTATTTGAATTTACATTTAGTTCCAACCGCAAACCAACCTTCATATTGTGTTGAAGCTCTGTCTTATGAGTTTTTGTTTGCGACTGTTGTTTTGTACATACAGTAACTTTTGTATGCTATAGTTTATCATGGTTTTGTTGAAGTTTGATTTAACGTTTGCGAAAGTATTATAGGATTAGACACAAACCATGCCTTAGATGAATCCTGATTATTCAAACACCCAATTACTGTCTCAAGATTAAAAATACTTCTTCCATTTCTTTATATGAAACAGTTCACACCCTTAAGAGGAGGCACTTATTTGGTGTAATACAAAACTCAGTGCTGTCTTTGTAACAGTTCAGGAGACTTTGTAATTAAACATCAATGAAGTATTTTGTACTGAGGCTCAACTTCATGGGTTGTTTTATCCATGGGCTAGGCATGTTTAAGCAGTGGCATTATATTTAACGTTAATGTTTTTCTTAATAAATGTTATTTATGGTTGTTTTGTTATGTGGTAAAACATATTCCTTGAAATTCATTAGTTTTACTAACTTAAGGGAAGTATTATTTGGTATCCTGAATATATCGAAATTTACAAATTTGGGAGCTACTTGAATAATAGAGGAATGTGAAGAAACAAAATGCTGCTAGCTTTTGAGCCTTCCTGCCAATCATTGATGCAGGGAGAAATGCATTTCATCATGTGAATGATTTCCACAAGTTTTTAACGTTCATGTTGTGAAAGTTATTTATGGTAGATTTCTTGTTTCTTTTTTGTGCCTATACATAGAAAATTAGTGTTCTCTTGCTTCTCAGTCATTTCTGAATGAGGTCCATTTTTCAAAACCCGAAAGGATTCATATGAATACCTTTTGCTTTTAAGAATGGTTTTCATGGTTTTTCTTTCTGTTCTGTTTCTATTTATTTAGTCATTTATTTATTTTATTACTTCAGGTGTGATAAACTTGTGAATTGAAGTGCTTCAGTCGTTTGTGAAAAACCATGTCTCAAGATCGAGAGAGAGTTGGGAAGGCGTACAATGCAATGAAGAGCTTAGGAATCTCAGCAGGAACTGTACGGCCGGTACTTAGGAGACTATTTAAATTGTACAACAAAAAATGGGAACTCATAGAAGAAGACAATTACCGTACCCTTGCTGATGCCATATTTGAATACGAAGAAGATAAGGTGTCCATTTTCTATCCATTTTTAAGTTCTCTGCACTCATGAATTCTTTCTTGATGTTTGCGGATGCTCTCTGTGTAATTGCATTCCGAATCAACCATCGTCTGTAGCATCTGTTATCTATGCGCGAAAACCTATAATATTAACTAATATGCTCAAAATCAAATTGGTATGATGATTTCTTTTATTTGGTTTAATTCTAGCTCAGGGAGTGTTTGCAAATGCTTGAAAGAATAAGGGTACAACAGCTTTTGGTTATTAACTTTGAAGAACCTAAACCGGGAAGAGACCATTTTTACAACTTATCACAAATCATTCTCCATTTAATTAAACGTTTTCAAATTTTATCTCCTACCAGTAAACACTGCCAAAACTCGTGATTGTTAACTATTTTTTCATGTTTTACTGAAACATATCACATATGAAAACATTAGGCTCTGTACAATTACTGTACAATTGTCATGTTTTACCTACATGTAATGCTTTCCTCTGAATCAACGGATACTTTTAACTCTGTTAAAATTTGTCTTGTTTTTTTCCCTGTGTAGCTAAAGGCTGAAACAAAAACAAAAACCGAAAATTTGAATGAAGATAACAGAAGTCCTTCTATCAAAGGAGATCCAGGGGATGAGGTCTCCTCTACGAGTAGAAATGGCAAAAGAAAATTAGAACCAGACGGGTCTGGTGCAGTAAAGATGGTAGAGTCTTCTCAATCGGTCTCAATTGATGCTACAAGTAAACCTGTTCTCAATGTGAGTGAAGCACCCAGTGAAAGCAAATGCATGGATCTTGTTCTGTTAAATTCATGTCCCAATGAGGAAAACTCACGTGGTCCACGAGCATCAAGTGCAACAGCAGAAAAGAAGGACAAAGATTGCTCTCCACAATTTGTGGTTCCTGCTTTGCGTACTCATCCAGGTATGTTTCACTTATCAAATTAGAAGTTCTTCATTTTTTTTTCTTTATATTTATAATAGCCATTTTCCTTTTTAATCGACAATGGTTAAATTAGCTTCATTTGTGATGTTGGTCTAAATGTTTAAGGGGTTTCTGATCATACGACGAGGCGCAAGTGTATTGGGAGAAAGAAGAAAGAAGTTAAAGAACTAAAAGTACGATAGATTTTTTTCATGGTAGCTAAAAGTAATTTCAAGAGTGTGATTGGCTAGTAAGTTGCAAAATGTGATATGTGTATATATGAATCTAGAAGCACTATTCTACTTGGCATTATGAAGGGTAGTAACAATCACTTTGTGCTTTATATGAGGAGATAGAAATTCTTCTACTACAAACCTTCAGGTTAGTCTACAATTTGATAAAAAACGGTTAGCTTGAGTGGTATTTATACATTGAGGTAGATAATGTTGATAAATCCTCTACAGCAATCTGTTTCATCATTACTGACATATCTCACGAAAATGTTTTTGATCTTTTCATGTCTTTTGATCTTTTCCAATCATGTATTTTGATCTTTTCAGACTCAAACATCACTTCACAGCACTCAGATGCCAGGAAGAAACAAATCGGTTCCAATTTGGCATTCAATCTTCACACCGGATCACAAACCTCGTACGACATAGCTTCTTCGGCTTGCGGACAAGTCAAAATCTCCCTAACATGCAAACACAACATATGGCAAAACAACTTCCATTTTCCAAGTCCAGATGATATCCTTAACTTTGCCCAGCAATTTTGCAATGCCGAAGGCTCCCGCTTCTCGCTCATAAACCTTTTGACTGAATTCTGTGAGAGCTATCTTGAAGCAGGATCTGTTTCCTCTACAAAAAGACCCCGCTTTAACAGATCCCCTGGAAATCACACCCGCAGTCCCTTGACATCCCCTTTGGATTGTATTAAAAAAGAGCATCCAGAAGGTCACCAGGGGAAAAGGGCTTCGAGCAGCAATAAAAGGGCCGTTCTGGAAATAACTGACATAACAAACGGCACAGAGAAAATCAAGATTTCGCTATTGGACGAGACGGGTTGTGGCGATTTGCCGCGATATGTGTACAGTCCAGAGAGTATCACGTACGAGTCTGCGTATGTGCACATTTCTTTGGCTCGTATTCCAGATGATGACTGTTGTATGGGGTGTAATGGGGATTGCCTTTCGTGCTCTATACCGTGCCCATGTGCACGTGATACGGGAGGAGAGTTTGCTTATACTCGGCAAGGCTTGCTGAGCGAGAAGTTTTTGAGTTCGTGTGTTGCTATAAAGTGTTCAGAGGGAAAGCAGCCTCTTTTCTACTGTCAGGATTGCCCGCTGGAGAGAGCAAAAAATGGGAGTACACAAGAAGAATGCAAGGGGCATCGGTATAGAAAGTTCATTAAAGAATGCTGGAGAAAATGTGGATGCAGCATGGAGTGTGGGAATCGGGTTGTCCAGCGAGGCATAACGAAGAAATTACAGGTTAGTGTATCTGGGGAGAAAGAAAACTGTTTTGATATCGTTTGGAATTATTATTATTATTGTTTACATTTTCAAGAATGGAATTTCTATACTTATTTTAGTCTATTCAGTAAGTATGGAAGTAACCTTGATTTTGTCCTTTCAATTTCACAATTGCCAATTCTGTTTTTAAATTTAAATTTTATGTTACAGGTGTTCATGACAGAGGGTAAAGGCTGGGGTCTGAGGACACTTGAAGAGCTTCCAAAAGGAGCTTTTGTTTGTGAATATATAGGGGAGATTCTGACCAACATGGAATTGTATGAAAGGAATACAAAAAGTAGTGGTGAAAATAGACACGTATATCCTGTTCTGCTCGATGCCGATTGGGCAACTGAAGGAGCCTTGAAAGATGAAGAAGCACTCTGTTTGGATGCAACGCATTTTGGCAATGTAGCTCGATTTATCAATCATCGGTAAACTTCTATGCCTGTAAATTTTGGGACCATCTGCCTTACAAGTTGCTTAAGTCTTGTCAAATGTCATAACCACATGAAAAAGAGTTTAATTAACTTGTGCATTTCAAAAGTTTATGTGTGCGTATTTGAACGACTCCTAGCTATTCTCAAAGACTTTTACAGTGATTTTAATTAACTTTTGCATTTTTGCTTCTTTTGATGATTCCAGGTGTTTTGATGGGAACCTGATTGAAGTTCCTGTGCAGGTGGAGACTCCAGATAGGCATTATTATCATGTATGGGGATAAACGGCTTTTACTTATCGTTAATTAGAGAAAAAGGTTCATGGAGTTTAGGCAAATTACAGAAAATAAAATCAAAAGAAAGAACCCCCACTATTTTCAAAGTTACAAATACACCTCCCTTAATCTTTTTGTTCAGAACTGAAAATGGTGCTACTAATAGGAAGTTTTTGTTGAGAAAACTGTAGTCGTAAGGCGGAGTTTGGCATATGTTAGAGATGTATTTGCAAATACGAAAAGGCTTGTGTTTTTTTCTCAAATTATACTTGCTCTCTTCTCTTATTATCAGTACATTTTGTTTCATGTTACTGCAATACATGGAATGATCTTTTTTTCTCGTTTTTTTCTCCTTAATGCAGCTAGCATTTTTCACTAAAAGGAAAGTGCTTGCTCTAGAAGAGCTTAATTGGGTAGGTTTATTCATCCCATCAGTTCATATTTTTCTCTTGTCAAGGCAAATTAACAATCTTTCTTTGTAGGACTATGAGATCGATTTTGAGGATGAGAGTCATCCGGTTAAGGCATTCAAGTGTCTGTGCGGGAGTCAATACTGTCGGGACAGAAGACGATGAGAAAGGATCAGAAGTTTTTTTGCATTTGGATGAACCAATTCTTGTTTTTAAATTGATCTTCAAGAACTCATGTGTCACGAGTCTCACGACAACCACCATGCGGGGCTAATGTGATGGACACATAACAGCTTCTGGGCTCTTTGTTTTGCTCACCTGATATCACATAGGAGTAGAAATTGAAACTATTCTTACATACTTCCATTCATGATGAATATAAAACTCTCTCATCGGTTAAATGGTTTCTATATCCTTGAATTTTGTAATCTAAGATTGAGTTCGACTGAAGTTAGTAGACAGTTCTGTGTATGGACAGCATGTTCTTCATGTGTGATCAAATTAGGAAGAAAGAACAGTACTATAATCAGTTAATTGCAAATGCTCCACTATGGAGACTATGGAGCCAACTGTTGGTTTCATAGCAAAACCGATAGCTATAAATTAGATACTCACTATAAATTAGATACTCACAGACCATTATTAATTATGAATTACAACAAAATGACCATATTTCAAAAGAAAACTGCTATTTGTTCAAAAGTTTTAATGAAAATCAAGAGGAAACAATAATAAAAAAAATAATTGCCCAGCACATTTCAAACAAGAAAAAAAAAAATAAAAAATTCAAGGACACATTTAACAATAATAATAAAAAAAAAAATTGCTAGAGCATTTCATACAATAATCATTATGGCAATTTCATGCAAAAAATTGAAATAAAAATTGAGACTCACGTCGAAAAATCAATATCTTGGCCTGCACATTTCAAACAAAAATTATTATTGGGATTTCATACAAAACTAATAATGTCTAGTTACCAGCCAAACACATTTATTAAAAAAAAAAAATGGCCATCACAAACCAAAAGAAATTTTGCACATTTATACCACATATTGATTTAATTTCCCAAAAAATTCCTACAAAAAATAAAAACAATAATTAAATAACTCAAATAAATTCATCCACTTTATACTATTAAATTGTGTAATTAATTACTAACGGCCATAAAATACAAAATAATTTTGTTTACTTTATACCATAAAACGATTAATTGATTTTCAGATACTGTATATAGTATTTTTTTTAAGAGAAACAATTACTATTTTAAAAATAATTAAACTTTATATATATATTGTCATTAATTTTTATGCCTACAATTATAAATATAGATTTTCCAAATGGTTCGAGTTTTCGAAACCCATACCCGGTTTAGGTCGTTGGCCCGGTTGGTGCTGCAATGCCCAAACAGGCCCGATCCGTTATTGTCAACAGTACTTTTGAACCCCACTACGCATCTCTACATTTTAGTAGAGTTTTCCTCAAAACAACAGTAAGATTTAAGATTTCGATTTCGGAGAGATTATGATAGGCGCCGTTTGAAAAAGGAGTAAATGTTTTTCGCGTAATCAATACTGCATTGGGTATTTTGTGCAGATTTTTCCATTTACAGGTTTTTTTTTTTTTTTCTAAATTAATGGAACAGTCTTTAGTGTTGTTTCTTCTTCGTTTGTTTTTCGTTAGTTATTTTAATGTGTTATGGTAAGAATGGAGGTCCAATGTAGTGGGCTTCTCATAGATTTTAATTTTTCTCACATAGTTTTACTCGAGGGCCATACTTCTGCAATTGGGTTTTTGTTTCTGAAGAAAAAGCCGAAGCTTTGAGCTTTTCTGTAGATCTTTTTAATATGGCACTGTTTCACAATTTCAAGGAAAATTTGATGGGCATTCTGCAGAATATATAGATCTGTTCATAACACAATGTTTTTTTATTGCTCAGAGAAGGTTATTGTTTGTAATTTAAGACACACACTGGGAATTATATGAAGAAAAGGTGCTCATAGTGTTCTAATATGCCTTCTTCTCCTCTCAGTTTAACAGAAAGTAAACTATTTTTCTCATTTACTCACTATTTCCCCCTTTTTTCTTCTGCATTCTTGTAAGGAATGGGGAAAAAAGGGCGATGGTTGTCCGCCGTGAAAAGGGTCTTCAGTTGCGAATCGAACGAAAACAGAAGAAAGGTATTGTGGTACTAATCTTGCACCATTTGTTTTTTTCACATTCCCCCTTCAAGTTCAACATGTCGTGTGGAAACAAAAAATGTGTATATTTGTTTTTTATCTTTTTTATTTTATTTTATCCTAGCACAAGAGGAGCATAGGTTTAGCTTCTTCAAGTTCAGATAATGCGGCCCCAAATCATTCTCCGAGAGAGGAGGTGAAGTTGATAGATGCAGAGCTTGAACAGAACAGACACGCTTATTCCGTTGCCATAGCCACCGCCGCTGCTGCTGAGGCGGCGGCAGCCGCCGCTAATGCCGCCGCTGAGGTTGTTCGTCTCACGTCCGCTGCTCGTCATTTAGGCAAATCGAAGGAGGAGATTGCTGCTATCAAGATTCAGACAGCTTTCCGGGGATATTTGGTAAAGGGTTATTTATAGTCTCAGTAATGATCTGAGGAGTGGAGTGTTGATGCCTTTTATTTTGTCAACAAATGCATTTGTTGGAGATCGTCAATGATGAAAATTTGATGCTTTTCTTAACAAAACACGTGTTTTGCGAAACGGTATATAATTATCATGTGTTTTTCGAGAATTTTGTGTTTGGAGTGCCTTTCTGCTTGTGTGTCTTCCTTCTTTTCTGGATTCAGGGTGTAAATGCACACAATTTTGGGGGTGTGGGGGTGGGGGGAGAATGGTGCCGACTTTGGGTTGAAAAAGAAAAAATGTGTTTGCAATTGTATACTTATGCACATGATGTTCTAGAATTCCAGTACAGTTTGAATGGAAAGGGAGCTGTGCTTTTGTTTTTCAATTCTCGTTCTGGTTTGAGTGTTACATGCTGATAAAAGATTTTTACAACTTAGATTCACAAAAAAAATCCTTCCTTTAGCCATTCATTTTTAAGCTTCCATCAGCAAGGAGTGACAGCTTTTGATTCTTTCCTATTAGTCTTTTCAGTTAAGAAGTAGGGTAATTTTTTCAAAATTGAAGGTTGTGGGCATTTGCAAACACCACCCTTGTATTGAAGTCCACTAGTTACTAAAGATGAAAACGAGAACGGATTATGTGCCGTGCCTCAATTATTTTAAAAAACATAATATACATATTGTAGATAGTATTTCAGTCTTCAGAGTATTAGTTTATTTCAGTTCTATTCATTATAATATTTCCTTTTTTCGTGTTTAGTTTGCGAACAAATTTAACTAGTAATCAGTCCTTATCCTTCTGCATCTAGATTGTATATCAAATAGTTTTTAGCATTCAAAATTTAATTTATGATGAAAATAGGTACGAGCACTCTTGGTAGCGGCTTAGTTAATTTATCAGGACGAACCATGAAAATGACTATAAAGTTTTAGTTTAACCTGTTGATGTGTCATTCCAGGCAAGGAGAGCATTGAGGGCTTTGAGAGGTCTAGTAAGGCTAAAATCATTGGTTGGGGGTCCATCGGTTAAACGCCAAGCGGCTTCAACCTTAAAATATATGCAGACATTGGCTCATGTTCAAACCGAGATTCGGGCTAGGAGACTAAGAATGTCCGAACGCAACTCAGCAATTACCCGGCAAATCCAGCAGAAACGTGAGAAGGAGCTCGGGAAGTCTAGAGCATCCGTAAGTAGTATTGCCTGCCGTTTATCTTACTATGCTTCCGCACGAAAAATAGTAAAATACTTTCTGCTGGAAAATTATTATGTTTTTTTGTGCTGGCTCCATTCGTTGATTTGAATATAGCAACGAAAGAACAGGTTTACCTTGTTCATATATTCTCTGCTTGATTATAGTCTTATTTTGTTGATTTATTTTACTTGTAATGTTGGCAACCAAGTAAGCAGACAAGTTCGACATCAGTTTTCATAAGAATGGTAAGATCTTTAATCTTACTTTCTTGAGTAGCCTTTTGGCTGAAGAACGGGATATATATGACAATCATAGGTAGAAGAAGATTGGGATGATAGCATACAGTCTAAAGAGCAGATTGAAGCTAGTCTTCAGCATAAGCAAGAAGCTGCTATGAGAAGGGAACGTGCTTTGGCTTATGCATATACACATCAGGTTCTATGATTGTCGATTTTTCTGTTGCTATTTAATAGTGCTCTATCGTAAGTAAATAACCTCAAATAATAATAATTTATCCATGGAAAAGTTCATCTTACATTTATGCTATCATTCTTAAGAGTGTTGGTTATCAGAAAATTACTGTTGGATTGAATCTAAATCCGGAGTAAACAAATAAACAACGCTATTATTTGTTTGATACTTTGCAATTGCATCCTCATGATTTAAGGGATATTTGTTAACCGGGCGTTAGTAGTATACTAATACCTTAAGAAAGGAGGGTTTTAGACTTTTAGTTAAACCCTTTCTGGTTGTGAAATTGATATAATATATTTGTGGACCCAGCAAACATGGAGAAACGAGCCTACTTCCACAAACCAAACTACGTTCATGGACCCGAATAATCTCCACTGGGGCTGGAGCTGGTTAGAACGGTGGATGGCTGCTGCCCGCCCATCGGAAATCGGGCCCACCACAAAAGAACCAAATAGTGACCGGATTTCCATAAACAGCACCACCACAAGCCACCGCCCGGCATCTCCCCGAGCAAATTCTGGAAAAACGCAGCAAAATAGCCGCCCACCGAGCAGGCAGTCACCTTCAACCCCCAAGTCCACAAGGCCCACCACCAAGCTAAGGCCCGCAAGCCCGATAGGGCCATCTCACAGTGCTAGAGAGGATGAATCGAATAGCATCAACAGTGTCCAGTCAGAGATTTGCCAGAGACGCCACAGCATAGCTGGCGACTCGTCTGTGAGGGACGACGAGAGCCTCGCCAGCTCGCCTGCCATTGTTCAAGGTTACATGGCATCGACCGAGTCAGCTCGGGCCAGGGCCCGAATGGCTAGCCCGCTCGGGTCCGCCAAGAAGCGGCTCTCGTTTTCTGGGTCGCCTGGTGGGCCCCCCCGGAGGCACTCAGGTCCTCCAAAGGTGGATATTAGTTCGATGCAGGATATTTCCGCGGAATGAAGAATGTCGTATGTTCTTTTGACTTTGGGTTTCTGTTTGTGTTTGTTTTGGCTTGTGTTGTGTGTTGCTTGGAAAACTTATAGTTAGTGTGTGTGTGGGTGTGTGTGTGTGTGTGTGTCTGTGTGTGTGTCTGTGTGTGTGTGAATAATGCTGCTTTGGAAACTGGGACATCACATAGCATTAGCAGGCTTTTGGAGAAGAGATTGTGTGATACTGCCATTTTGGAGTAAATTATGGTGTGCCAATTGCGATTTTATTTCACTTGTTCCCTTTCTATGGCAAAACTTGCCTGCATATCAAAAGTATTATTTACATATATTACACTTTTTCGTTCATAGGTCATATAAACCCATCCAATTATACTCCATAGTAGTGCATAATAACATTTTCAGTAGAAAATAAGTACAAAAATAAGTTAATCTTGTTTTGTTAATAAGATGTGATCAAATTAATTGAGTTGAATAATTCAGGTATATTAATCACCCAAATTTTGACTTTCTTTTTTTCTCTCCATTCCCTTTTCTTACCCCCCACCAACTCCTTTGTTCACTCTTCTTCTCCTAACACCGTCCCAGGCCAACCAAGTCCAGCCCACAATCCAATTGCCAAGGATCAAGGCTAAAGGCCTAGGCCCGTGCCGAGCGGGTTGACCGGCGGGCGGGGGCGTGCGTGTGGCCAAAGTCATCACCAACACTTAGTGCATGTTTTTGTTATTGTTTTGCAACTCTAATTATGGTAGGATTAATGAACATTCGAATCCCACAACTGACATATTACATGCCCATTAATAGCTATTAGGGCTGAGCATGAGACTCGGAGAATTCCGAACCACTCCAAAAACCGAACCGAAGTAACTCCGAACCGATAAAAAAACCGTTGACCATTTGACTTCTTTTGAACCAGAACGAAAAAGTAATTAGTACCGTTTTACATATTTGTGGAATCTGCATACCGAGAACCGAAACGAACTGAACCGATAAATAAAAATCTTCAAACCGAACCGATAAATAAAAATCTCCGAACCGAACTGTCCCGATTTTTTGGTACTATTCTAGAGATTGAATTTAGTGATCTCTGAATTTCGGTACGGTCTCCAAAACCGTATCTACCCATGCTCACCCCCTAATAGTTACCTTAGATCATTTATTTTCTTACTCACCAAAAATAATTTAAAAAAAAAAAAATAAACATACCACGAGTATTTACTCGGAACATAGTAATATTTTATACATAATATATAATTCGACTAAAATTAATCATTTAACCATAAAAAAAAAACAGTCAAAACCGGATCAACCGAATTTTATTTAACCGATTTTCTAACACTCACTCACTCACTCGTTGTGCTTCTTTTTCCTATGTTCTTCTCATCACCAACACTTTTACTGTAATGGATTAATAAATATGAAGTTTGAAATGGGTAAGCAGTCTTTAAGTGTCAAAAGGAGACGGCCAATGTCACGGTGGGTAAATAAGAAACTAACATAAGCTGAGCCTCCTAAAAAAGATACCAATAACCAACTTATTATTATTATTAGCTACTTAAATAGGACAAATTGTATTAGGCAACGAAATTTTTTTTTTTTTTTTTAAATTTTCAGACGTATTAGTAGGTCAATCCCACTATTATTTTCCGCGTTGGTCTCAAAAGTCAACAACCAATTGAGTGGATTCTAGATAGTTCGGTCGGTTCCGAACCGCACCAAATTGCATAAAATTGTATATAAAAATTGATATAAAACCGAAAATCGAACCGTGTATTTCGGTGCGGTTCGGTTCAGTTCGGTTAATTTAGTGTATACAAATTTCGGTTCAGTTTCGGTTTCAATTTTTCTAAAATTGCGGTGCAGATTGGTTATTTTTTCGTCCAAGTTTCGTTTTCAGTTTTTTACGGTTCGGTGCGGTTTTTCACCAAACCACACGACCGTTGCTCACCCCTAGTTTCTCGTACATATATTTAAATAGCGGTGCAATTGCATTATCAATGGGTTGGTCTAAAGGACATAATTTTGAATTTGTAATTATGTACCTAATTTAGGTTTATAGAAGGTTCAGGTACGAACACTGCAAAAAAAAGTCAACACGCACAAGATTGAGTTGAGTTTAGTGGATGTTGAAATGGAGCCGCAAAATAACAAAACAAAAACCATGCATGTAATTTAATCTTAAAAAAAAAAAAAATAATAAAAAATCGAAAATTCAATGTTGGATGTTTGGGTGTCTTCACATCCAAAATACACAACGGTCATTCATAAGATTGTTATATTGAAAATGCATGCTTCTTGTTCTTACTAAATACTCTAGGGTCTCTTTTACTTTAGTTGATAAGATACGATAATTGAAATTATCTAAGATTATCTCGCGTTTACTTCACAGAATTACGAGAGGATTTTTGTTACATGACGTACATGTGGCATGCGGGCCTCACAGGCTTATCAATTTTTGGCTGATAATTCGGTTCCAGTCAACATTATTTTATCTGAAGCTCTCTTTGACCATTTTGCCCTCGTTGCCTGCGAAAAGACAAGAATCTCCTCAATGTCAAAATATTTGCTATGAATGGAAGGATAAATTAGACATTTCAAGTTATAACATCTCATTTAGTCCATGATAGTAAATGCGTGATTAGTTACAGAATACTGAATCTCATAATGTGAACCTTGGACAGACTGCTGACTGCAAAGTTGGTTGTGTTGTAATGTCCAATCCCGTCCAGCAAAATAAATGAGGCTTACGACTAAGGAATAAGTTTTGATATATAATTAGTTCTATTAGGATTTACGATTAATGTTGCAAGTTTTTTCTCCTTTTGGTTGTTGTTTTTACATACCAAAAATTTATATTTAGTCCATATTTATTTATTTTATTCTTGAATAGCATTGCATTGAATTCCCAGCTCAGTGCATCCCTAAGTTTAAAATTTCCACGTCGAGATTTCTGAAACTCGTCAAGTTCAAAATATATATATAAATGGTACAATGAGCACTGAATCTTAATGGAAGAATAATCAATAGGAAGATTATAATGTATAGTTGCTTGAAATAAAAATATCAAGTGGTACTTGATAATCTTTGGATTTATCAGGATCCATGGTTGGTGTCGAACAAATCAAATGTTTTTTAAATTCAAGTACAAATTAAAAAGTCAAACTATTTATGTGGTTATTAATATTGATTGTTGTTATTTAATTCTATATTCATGTTCCTCATATTTTAGGCAAGACTTGAGTCTTGATATG